AAAAAAAAAAAATCTAGACCCTGTCTGGTTTCATTTCCCTGTAGCTAGGTCTCCAAGGCCTATTTCCAGACCCTGTTTCCTCCCTTCTCCCTTCACAATGCCATCCTGAAGCTCTACCTGGTGGCTTACTACCAACCAGCATCTCACTCCCACACCCAGCTGACGGGCTCCACCAGTCTACACACTAAATTTTGCTACACATATCCCTGATGTTGACATGCTGACGATAACTATAACTGAACTTCAATCCAGATTTCCCAAATTAGTGTTGGGAACTCATCTAGAAAGACTTACAGCCTGGCTGCTACTATTATTTAGCACCTAAATCCTGCTGGTGTTAAATCTGTATAGTAGATATCAATTCCTACAATCAAGTAAGTCACAGTTCCATTATAACGATTACTCAGTATTGTTTTATTCACCCTTTCTTTTCTGAATACAAATTCTGAAAATGTTCACATCTTTAACAACTTATCCATCCATTTACTAAGAAAAGAGGTCTACAACTTATTCACCCATTTACCAGGAAAAGAGGTCTGCCCTATACTCAGTGAAATCAAGAATCATTACACCTCTTTCTCTGCCTATCTTTGTGCCCTTGACACAATGATACCACTTCTTTATATACATCAGAAAATGAAACATTTTTACCATACTCAAAACACATTTAACAACAGGGAAAGATATTCCATTAAAAGAAAGGGGTTTTCACAGATTTGGATTAAGTATAAAAATTGGCAGGGAGGGGGAAAAATTTCCTATTACTTTTTTATGCTCTAGACTGTGTAACTGAAGTCAATTCTGAGGCTGAATTAGCAAGTATCCCCTATTGTATGTAAGCTAATGTATCTGTATGGATCAAGTTTTTCTCTAAATAGTACAATGTAAATGTAAAATAAATAAATTCTATTATAGAAGTGTGTGTGTGTGTGTGTGTGTGTGTGTGTGTGTGTGTGTGGTATATATCATCTAAACACACTGCAAGTTTCCATTTAAACTTCATGACTGACATGCTTTATATGTAAGTTTTTAGAATAAATTTAAACTCAAAAGTTCATAACCCTATCTGAAATTAACAAAAATTCAGCCCTTAAAATATGCTTACTCTTTCAAAAATAAAAATTCAAATTTAGCAACACTGTGCCATTTACTTTCATATTTCACTTCAAAATGCACAAATGTATTTTTGGAACAAATTTTTTTAAAAGTATTGCTTTGTATCTCCCAAAGATGTTCCCTAATTATTTCACATGAGAGCCTCATATTTCTTGAAAGACATTTTCCACATTTAACAAACATAAAAAATAAAAACAGGTTAACAGAAAATTCAAATGTCTCTAGTAATAAGTCATCCCACTTAAAAGTTTTTTCTAAGTAAGCTTATTTTTAATAATGGAGCTTCTCAGAGTATAACCAATACTGAAAAAGATAGTATCTTTCTACATAATTTCTGAAAGATTACACTACATAAAATTCTATTGATTTCTGCATTAGTATAGACTCATGTCCTCTCACTGGCCCTTGAAAGACAGTATTCTGTTTAAGGTCCCAACAAGAATCAAGGAAATCATTTAAAAATGAAAACATCCAGCAGCACTGGTAACTTCCTAAGCACTTTATAAGTATTCACTCACTCAGGCATTCTAACATCTATGAGATTCATACTTGAATCCCATTTTTAGATCAAGAAACTGAAGCACAGAGAGGTTAAGTAATTTGCTCAGTCACTCAGATAGGTGAGACCTCAGGAAATAAATTCCTATCCAGGGCCCCTGCTCTTAACTCTCTTAACTGTATCACTAAAGTGCAGAAACCATCACTCAGTAGGTATCCACATTAATCTCTCAAAAAAAAWTTTTTTTCAGTTTTTCTTTCATTTTTGACAAATTATATAAAATCCCATGTAAATATTTTAGGCTACATCTTAAAAGATCRCTGATGAAAAAACCAAGCAAATGAACCTTAAAGAGGAAACTCCTTCAAATAAACTTGAGGATTTTAATATGGTTACATGACTAATAAATTTAAAGTATACATTCATATGAAAATGTTTCACAAATATTTCTCATTTTAACAACAAATACCCCAATTAAGAGAAGTTCATAATTGAGTAGTCAAGTTGACAGTATGCTAACGTGGAACTTTACCAAACTTCACTTAACCAGAATATAACAACTCACTAAAAAAAGACCTCTGGCCAAATAGATATTATAATGTCCAAGTATTGGTATTCATTCACTTTTCCCACCAGAGGACCTCACACTGTTCAGTAAGGGTCTACTGGTTTTCCCCCATGTATAATCATAAATTTGCACATGATTTCCACACAGTCAAAAAAAAGAAAACGGAGAAGGAAGGGGGACACTAATTACAGTTACAAGCATAGAAAAGCAAAGTAGGGGGGAAAGCACCTATTTAAATAATTTCAAAATGGAAAGGAGTAATGTTAACAAACACTATCAACTATAATGCACCAATAAAAAATATGGAAAAAATGCAAAGAAGTATGTTATTTAGCATTTGGATCAAGTCCTATATATGATCCAACAGATTCTCAAGGCACACCAGCAACTAAAAAAGTAACAAATTATGACTTTACGTCATCAAAATAAATTTAATTATATTCTACATCCTATTTTAGATCGAGGTATACATTTAATTTTAGTATAATTTTCATCCAAAGCAGTTAGTGATTTTAAAATTTGATGCTTAAAGGAATAAGCCCACAATTACCCTGTAAGCTCAACTAATCAATTAAAAAGGAATTCATTCGAAGGATCCAAATAGCAAATATTTTATTTTACTGTTTCTGAGTTCAAGAGCACTTTGTTTATAAAAGGTACCTGAGAACAGGTGGTAAGTGAGGGGAACATAAAAATAGAAAATCTAAGAAAACAGAATAGCTAGGCAAGTGCCTATAAACACTGTTCAAAGCATCATGCACAAAACAAAGGGTGGGCAGAGGGTGCCACATCAGCAGTATTCTATTTGTCCTGCTACTAAATCATTTGTTAGTTTMATGAATTATTCATTTCGGTAATGGTTTGTTGATATGAAGCGACACCAACTCTCAACTRGAAGCAGTGATAGAGTCCTCCTGATTTACTCCACTAAACTTGGATTTACTCTCACAGAACGTTCTCTCCCTTATGGTGGCCCAAATTTGATTTTTTAAAATATTCTTTTAAAAAAAATGCTTTTAAATTTTAAAGAATATAGGAATTAGTGCCTAGCCTACACTGAACTTTTTAATCAAAAGAATCGTTACATCACTTGACAAAACTTTCCAAACCAAACTGCAATACATTCCCTAATTCCAAATAAAATTTTTAAAACACACAGCAACAACGTATAAGGCTTTGTACTTTTCTCTCCTCTAGCAAGGAAGTCTAACTCCAAACAGGAAACTACTCCTCACCGGGTTCAATACTGAATCCTACCAAACCCCAACCCAGTTGGGGAGGAGATTTAATGTTTAAGTACCAGCACATTTGCCTAGGTAGATCCAGACTAAAATACATATTATAGATTTCCTTTTCTCGAGTCATCTCTTGCTGCAAGTTTCAGGAAGGAAAAAAAAAAAAAAAACTTTGACAAAATGTGTACTTATATGTCCCTAAAAGTCCAATCTATACAAAGCCTCAGAGAAGACAAAGTGCCACTTTGTCAAGTTTTTCCGATCACCCTCCCCCATCCGAAGAGGGCGGCGCAGGGCAGTGGGCGCCGAGAGGTGGTCGGGMGTCCCAGCCCCCCTTCCCACACCTTGAGGTGAACAGGAGAAGGGGCGGAGAGGACAGCGCCCGAGAGCACCGCGAGAAGAACAAGGTGGGAGGCAGGGCTAGGAGGGGCGCCAGCGAGGGTGGAGTAGGGTGCTGCAGCGCGGGGGCTGAGCCCCGTAGCGTCCCCACTGAGGCTGACCAGGGAACCGCCTCCCCGGCTCGAGAGGGCCTGGACCGGCGGCGGGAAGCGCCCAACCTTACCCATGCTGGGGACTCCTGCGGGAAGAAGCCCGGCACCCGCTCTCCTCCTCCGCTGGCTCGCGCGGGCGCTCCTGAGACAGGAGGCGGGCCCAGCGCTCGGCTCTGGCCCCTCCTAAGCTCAGGTGGGGCGTGCAGGCGCCTCCATCCGCCCGCGGCAGTATCCGGCCAGTCTGTTCAGCGCGGCCCGTGAGGCAGCGACGATGGCAGCTCCTCACGCCTGGCCTCCGCCGAAGCCACGGCGGCGGGAGAGCCCTCCCCCCGCGCGCCCAGACGGCGGCTCTCCCACCCTTGTCGCTTCCGCAGGAGTTGGGACCCGCTGGTTCGTTCAGGCCGCCAGCTCCAACCCCGAGCGCCCGCCCAGCCTCAGAACCCGCCCCTAGCTGCTCCCTCAGGGCCCGGCGTCCTACAAGGCGACGCCAAAGACTGAGGTAAAGAGCCGGACAGAAGCCGGGAAGGTGCGGGGAAATGGGCCTGGATGAGGGAAATCTCGCGAGAACGTCCTCGTTCTCTTGGCCCCGCCCCCGATGTGCTGGAGTTTTTACCCAGCACGGGTCCTAGGGCTGTTGCCAGGTGCGGGGACGTCACGGCCCTGGTCGCGCGCCACCMGCGTCCAGGTACCCTGAGCGGATGAGAGAGCAGTATAAAGAAGCTACGCTTCTTCCTCCCCGCAGAACTTCAGAACAGCTGGGTAGGGCGTTTTGTCTGTTCTGTGGCCTGAAATGGATACAAAAGGTTTTTGCTGATAGGCAAAATAAGCTTGGGTTGCCCCACTTTCCGCGGTGGCGACGCGGGGTTAACTTTCTGCAGAGGAGCAGCTTATGGGAGTCAGCGAGAAGAATTGAGGACGCGCTTGATTTCGGTGTTGAGGGTTACCCCAGCAGCTGTTGGAACCCCGCAGTTTACCTTGCAAAGTCCCTATAGAACAGAGTAATTTGCTATTCGTGGGGGAAGAAAGAAAAATGAAAAACTAAGTACATAAATCTGTGTCACAGAAATAATTTATTACATTCTTTTAGTCTCTTGACAGCCGAAGATAACTTTCTGTTCTCTTCTGAAAATATAAGTTGTTACGTAACCATGGAAGAAAAATAGGCATCATGATTTGAAATATTGCCAGACATTTTTTTCTAGAGTCAATATGAAGGAGGGCATGGGATTATTATAATTAAATGTGGACTTTCTTAAAGTTATAAACAAGTATAATTAATTCATCCAGGTTTTTTTTTTTGTTTTGTTTTTTCCTCCTCTCCTGCTTAAGTAGACACAACTCCTGGGCAAATTGTGGAAGAAACATCTGTTGAACACCAACTATTGTGCCTASTGCTTTTTCAATAAATTATGCCATTTAATTCTCGAAGTCTTACAACACTAAAACCGCCTTGCCTTTGAAATCAGGCAGACCTTGGTTTCTGAAACTTAGCACAGGCATTTATTGGGGGTGGGCGGCTTTGGATAAATTAACATGGCTGGACTTCAGTTTTTAAGTTTGTTGAAAGAAATCTTTAAAATGCAGACTATGGTGTCAAACACAGAATAGCGACACTATAAATATCAGTTCCCACTATCTCTTACATGCCTGTTTTTACCATCTTTTAATTTTTTTTATTGCTTCCAAAGTTACCTACGGTAATACTAAACAGGAATTGTCAAACTCAGAAGCAGAGGCCAAAAAGGAGAAAAGAAAAGAAAATTACTATGTATACCTAAAAAGGTGTTGGCTGTGTGGTATTGAAATCATGGAACTTGTGCTTTCTTTAATCAACAAATACTTGTTGAGTAATATTTGTTCATTGTCTCCTACTGAACAAATCAAAAAAAAAAAAAAAAAAAAAGGATGAAGTACATACAGCCCTCATCCTCAAGGACTGCATTCTAACTAGGACATGAGACATGAATACATGAGGCTAATAAACAGGTAGTGAAAGTCAAATGCTTGAGATTTTATAGGAAAATAAATTACTACAGGCAGGGCAAACTATAGGGAGAAGGTGTGAATTGCACTAAAGCTTGAAGGAAGGCAGTAATTCCATCTGAAGATGTCCTAGAAGTAAAGAGTGGAAGTGGTTGTGCAAACAGAATATTCCTGAGCTTTTGAAAAATCTGTGCAGCTCAAGCAACCCATAAGAAAGTAGATCAAGCATGGCTAGGTAGTACATCAAGAGACCAAGGGAGGAGGATCACTTGAGCCCAGGCTATTTTTCCAGCATGGGCAAAATAGCAAGACCCTGTCTTTTTAAAGAATTAGTAGATAGTTTTAAGATTTTGAAAAATGAGGCTGGTGAGAGGCAGAAGAGAATTCATTGAAGGAGACAGAAAAAAAAAAATCCATTGGAAGAGACCTAAATATCTAGGTCTCTTGAACCCTAGATATTTAAAGAAGAAAGGACAATAAATAGAACTGAAGAAAGGTTAAGGAAAACAAATGGGGAGTATTGTTTYGCCAATAAGGTCACATTAAAAAGTCTTATTTCAGGATATGTGTATATATAATAGGATATAATATGTAAAACTAGATATTTAGAATATATGTAACAAAATTCATATTAACCTTCATCAAATAGATAAGGTGACCACATTTTCTTAACCAGAGATCAGGTTCCATGATTTGACAGTGTGACAAAACATTTACAATCAGTTCTGTCCTAGAAATCCCGGGATCTGTAATATCCCCATAATAAGCAGTGTAGTTTAGAGTTTAAAAATTAAAATAAGCAAATTCAAAAGGCATTATCCCACTGAGGTAATGTTCCAATGTTGGATACAAAAATTAGAAGGATGAGGGAATAGGACCTATAAGAAGAGTTGAGTAAGTTGGAAAAAAAAATAAATAACCATGATCCTAAAGTTAGTGCTATCTTCCAAACCAAAAAAATTATATTCAGGAATTTATTTTTAAACTTACAAAATGGTGCATAAAGACATTTTCTAAACCTTTAAGTGCTATGTAAATGTTGGTTATTAATTGTTCATAGAGCTCCTTTAATTAATTATCTTAATTACAATACCTATACTGTGAGGTCATTAAAGCTAAAAATCTACGATGCCCACCAGCCTATAATCCCAGCTAGTTGGGAAGCTGAAGTAAGAGGATTCCAAGTTCAAAGCCAATTTCAGAAATTTAGTGAGATCTCATCTCAAAACAAAAGTTGAAAATTTCCCTGCTCAAACCGATGACCCATCAGATTGTGATAAAATATTATTTCACTAGAAATTTGGGGGATATGCTCATATAAGACAACTCTATAAGCACTTTTCATTATTGCATTTTCAGAGCTGGGGATATAGCTCAGTTGGTTGAGTGCTTACCTTKCATGCACAAGGCCCTGGGTTCACCATCAAAGAAAAAAGAAAAAGAAATCATTATTGCATTTTCAGAAAAAGTGTAACTAAAAATATGATGACCCCATCAAAATGAATCACCACTTTGCCTACTGCAAGGACCTTTTTAATAATCATATGCCARTATCAAAGAACTGGGCTATCATAATAGGGAAATCATAGGAGCTTCATAGGTCCTCAACAGGAGTCTCTTTTAAAAAGTATTACTCTCCCAAAATGTTACAACTGGCCCCTTATGAAGAGACAGATACTTTAAGTAATCCCAAATGACAAATGCATTTGCATTTTTCAAATATCAGCCAAATTTTGCACATAATATTATATAAAGAATTTCAAGTAATGAACACATTAATTCAAGTCAACACTTACTGAGCATTCATTTTAAATGAGTAGCTGCTACTTGGAAAATATGATCCCTGCCATTAAAAGAGGAAGTATTGGGGATCCTCTTGGGGGAACATTGGGGTTGACTGACAAAGTTGAGAAAGGGTAATCAGCCARCCAGGACAAAGACATGTGGACAGCCAAAAGCCTAGAGAGCCARGCTTTAGTGGATCAAAGTCAAACAAGGGAGGCCCTCTGTGCCATGGGAATGATCTGCACTGTTATCCTAGACAAGTTAATGAAGGATGTTAAGTAGTTAATTGATTTTTCTTTTAGCTACATCTACAATCACAGGGGAAAAAAGTGCTAATGTCTCAAAAAAATAGGTACAAAAATTTGGTTCAATAAGCATTGATTAAGTATGTACTACTCTTAATCAACTAGTAAAAAAATTTTTACTAGTATAAAATAACATTTAAACCAATGTAATGTATAGGGCATGACAGATGTGAGGAACTCTGAGAGATGTAATACAATACACACTCTCCCTTTAAGGAATGTGATTTCTGGCTTAAAAGGCTAAGAAATGCTAACTGATATTAAATAACTTGCTGTTATTTAAATAAAATTCACTGTATTAGCTAGGTGTGGTGGTGCACTTCTATATCTCAGCAGTTTGGGAGACTGAGGCAGAAGGATCTCAAGTTCAAGTCCGGTCTCAGAAACTATAAATAAATAAAAAGGACTGGGGATGTAACTCAGTGAGTAAGCACCCCTGGGTTTAATCCCCTGTACCAAAAAAAAAAAAAAAAATTCACCCTATTGGAGAGAAACTGCATTGAGAGTGACATATCTCAGACAAATAAACTGGACACATTTTCATCTTAGTAAGGCATTTGCAATATTCCTATTTGAATCTCTGCAAATTTTAAACAGTAAATACAAGTGACTGTTGCTCAACAATCAGGTGATTTTTATACACATTACAAGTTACACTACTACAGGGTAGCTTTTTAAAAAGCTGGAATACTAGTAATCTGTATTTAATTTATTCAGGATCTTTTATAAATTACAAAGGACAAATTCTCTTTTTTAAGTAGAAACTCGTGGGAACTCTCAATAGAGGATTTCATCTATAATCATTATCTCTTAGACACCATCTAAGCATTTGTGTGTATCAGGCCTCACGTGACCCTAAATGGCATTCATCCAATTATTACATTGCTATGGTTCTGCCAACCTAGCCATAAACTGTTTCCGAAACAAGAAGTAAGAACTTTATTTCAGGTCTCTACTTAACTCCCTTAACTAACAGATGATAATAAGATTTATTTCCTGTCTAATGTTGGAACTTTTAAATTCACTGTTCAGAATTTTTTTCTTTTGTAATGCTGGAGATTGAATGGCATTATTTTGATGCCCAGAGTTAAATGCCTGCCAAAGCTTAAAAAAAAAAAAAAAAAGCTCATAAACCAAGATATTGCTCTCTGCTTATTTCTGAGAATTCACATTCCATTCTGCCAGTTTCCAGGCCACATCTCACCACTCCCACGACTAAACCACATTCTATATGTGGCTCATAAGCAATTCTCCTCAACCTCCTGTCAGCCCACACTTTCTTAGTCAGCATCTGTCTTTTCTCAGATCTATTAATTGAAGGGMTACTTCAATTAATGTTGTGTACAGCACAGTACACTATTAACTTCYTTGTCCCCAAGGTTAATACCTTTCCTTTATAATCAGGGAAAATGAGTCATTCTAAATGCCCGCCCCCCTGCATACTGTGCTACCTTCTTTATAGAATTGCTTCTTTGACAAGGACCTTGTTCCCTTTGCCCCATCAAAATTGTGTCTCTGATTTGGACTCCTAATTTATACTTGAACTCTCTTTTTCCCTCTTCAATTTCCTAGGCTACCTCCTCATTCTTTTTTTCTCCCTCCCTTCCTGCCCTTTTCCTCTATATTATACCATATCTCTCCTAACTCTTCAGCACTGTCCTTAATTATCGATCCAGTTTGCCTGGTTTAGTAAACCTTATGTGGGTAGCCTCTTTGATCTTCTAAACCTCTCTCACTACCAAATACTTTTTCACAGAATAATCTTGATTCTTACCAAGACCATTACAAGGTAATAAAGCTTTCTACACATTAACAACATGCAAGGGCTGGGAATGTGGCTCAGGCGGTAGCGCGCTCGTCTGGCATGCGTGCGGCCCAGGTTCGATTCTCAGCACCACATACCAACAAAAATGTTGTGTCAGCCAAGAACTAAGAAATAAATA